AAGTTGAGAATTATTGCCAGTTCCTACAAATGCTTCCAGACACCGAGTCTAGGGTGTTGTATGATTGAACCTTGGCTCCACCAGAAACAAAAATGCTCACTCCCATCATTGGATCAGCTTCTATCATTTTTATGATGTCATAGGCCACCCCAAACAGTAAATGAAAACTCACAATTCATAGTCTGTTTGCTCAAAACTAGACTGAGAGCAACCCTGTTTTACCGTCTGTTGGCCTAAAACCAACTCTTATTCTGAACTGTCATTAGTGATGACAGGCAGACTTATTATTTCCCACAAATCTCATTTAGTAAAATTAGTAACCAAACAACTTCAAATGCTTTCTTGGTCTAAAGAATAATGAGTTAGTAAAAATCCTTTTCACCATATTATTTTGATTGAGTATTTATACAGATATGTCAGGCTTAGGAAAAAAGAAGTATGTTACTTTTTATAATCATAGTGTTGCGCTCATTCACATTAAGCAATGAAGAGTGGCTCTAATGGATCATACATTGGTTGTTGTCTTTTTTGAAAAAACCTCTTGCTTTCACGAGATTATTATGATTATTTTAAAAACATTGTTACTAGGCTTTAGATAGGGTATTTGAATATTTATTCTGTTGATCTGAATTATTAAAAGCATCCTTTGTCTGAAGCATAATTTTTAATTATCTTCAGTGGTAATGTATATTTAATAAGTGCTCTAGCTAAGACATGCACTTATCCCACACAATAGTTGCCATGAAGTTTTGGTTGTTAGTGATGCCTTAAGACTGTTTGGCTGACTGTTACTTTGCATCTATAGGATGCTTTTCCTTCGGATACAGAAGAATAATTAATGCTGGGCTAAAATATACAGAGATAAACTGGTAAACTCTTCCAGCAGTTTATTTTGCAACTGAAGACTATAGTGCTCAACCAAAGGTATGGTTAATTAGGGTGGGCCATAAACAGTAGCTTGGAAAAGGAAGAGAGTGGAGATGAGATGTTTTGCTCTATTCTATATTTTGACCTGGAGTTTATATGCTTAGTTGCCTTATTGCAGCAGAGCTGAACTGGTCTGACCAGTCCAAAAATTCCTTTGTGGTAAGCCTGTACAGGAATTTGATCTGATTCTAGGTTTGGATGTTATGAGATTGGTAGCAGACATACCTCAAAATAATCACTGTTTTAGCAGCATGACAAATTTCTTCTCAGAAAAACCCCGTTCCCATTGTTTGAAACTTGAGGAACTGTGTGAATTTATGGAGATGTTTACTAGGGGGAGAGGAACAGAATAAAAAGGGCAGCAGTTCCTGAGTTAACATTGAGTCTGTTCAAGTTTGTACCCTTTTCAGAGTATCTAGATCTGCAATTATGCATATGTGCATGCATATTATAAAATTACCTTGTACCCAAAGTCCCATTCTCATAAGGGAAGATGGTGAATTATTGCTTTAAGTCCTGAGTAATATGTAGTGATTAAATGACCTAATAAGAAATACTAATTTTGTATGAAGCAGAAATTTGTATTCTCTCCATCATGATTATACATGCATTATAATTTAAATAGAGTTCTTAGGGGAAAGAATTATTTGCTTGTATTGTGGGAAATGGAAAATTCCATCTATTGAGCTTTTTTGCAACTTTTAGTAAGGTATATTGCCATTAAAAATTATTTTAAATATTAAACATAGTAATTACACTTTGGACTGTATTTTAAACTTAATATGATGGAATATTTTTCCCTAAAGAGTGTCAAATTGCCATTGATACCTTTTCTAAATAGGTTATTGAATTCTAGGAGACATATATGACTGAATAAAATTATGAGCTGTTTATAGTATGGATATACTGCTACAAAGTATTCCTTAGAAAAGAGTTTTAAAATTGTGTGATATGTAGTTAATATGCTTTTTACTCCATCTGCATTCCGGAGTAGTGTATTTGAGAATAAATTTTACCAAAAAAGCTGCTTTGTTTGGTTGTGTGAGAAGTTGGGAAGCAAGACAGGTTAAATGTCTTGAAAATTAAAAGATAAATTAGACTTTCGTACCAAATTGTCCAAGTGCTAAGGATTCAGCTGTTCTCAGGGATTTAAAGGTTTATAGTACATTCTAATACTTTGGAAAATTAAGTCACTTAAATCAAGGTTTTCATAGTGTTAGTCAGACACTTTCTAAAAATATTCTTATCTTTGTAGGTGTGCTGGTTTAAAAGTTAACCAGCAAGGGAAAATGAACTCAATTCAAAAGAGAGATTTATAAGTCAGAATAACAGTTTATTAAAATAATGCAATAAGTACAATTATACAGACAGACAATTGGTTTTAACCCACAAAACCCAAATGTATAACCCAGCACCCCAGGATATGAACAAGAGTGGTGTACCTCGGCCCACCTCCGAGTCCAAAGCAAAGGGAGAGGGGAAAAACCTGCTGGTGGGAGAGCTGCTGCAGTCTGGTCAGAAGTGGTGATTGCAGTCCAGTCGAGGGTGGTGGTCTCAGTCTGGTTGAACGCAGTGGTCTGCAGTCTAGTTGAAGGCAGTGGTCTGCAGTATTCCTCTGGATCCCACGAGAGGTGGCAAGGTTCTGAAACTCCCAGTTATATACTCTCCAGTTCAGGCGGGAGTGCTCAGTCCCTCCCTCAGAGTAGGGAATTCCATAAAAGGGCATGCGGATGCTCAGTCCCTCTTCCATATAAGGGTATCAGAGCGGGGACTTCCATAAAAGGGTATCAGAGCGGGGAATTCCATAAAAGGGTATAGGAACATCTTCCCACCTTGCAGGTCTCTACTGACAACAGTTTCTGGGAAATGGCATGGACGGCTATAGAATACACAGTTTTGGGTTGCACCCATCCAGTGATGAATTGGTCCCAGCCGTTCTAACCAGGACAGTAGGCTACAGCAAAGCCCTCTCACAGAAGTACTTTCTAGCAGTTTCTTAAATGATATCATTAACATTTTTTAAAGTTGCAGTAATAGTTGTACCATAATAATAATAATGACCTCTGTTCTATTTTATGTAATGCAATGACGACAATGCATCAACATAGTTAGCAGTGGTTAAATTTGGGACAGAAATAATGTGGAGGATTTGTATGGGATTTAGAGCAATTTTTAAAATGCTGAAATGTGTGCAAACAAGTTGGTTACTAGGAGAGTTTCATGACAAGTAGGTTCTGACTTGGCAGGCTGGGAAAATGTGGTTTGTTTTTTCCTGAATCTTTCACTCTGGAAGTATGACAGAGAAAATAAAGGAAATTGTTCAGTTTACTTCTTGAATTCTCTTTTATTTTGCTCTTGTCTTTTCTCTTAATGGACAAGAGAAATCTTTTTCACAGTCAGTGATAATGAAAGACATCTTGAAATAGAATTTTCTTCAACCTATACAAAATGGGTCTTTTCCAGCTCAGAGACATTAGTTTTTCTATATGTAACAGAAAAGAAAATGTATGTCTCCCGGAAAAAAAAAAAATTAATATATAGAAGACTAATTATCAGCTGTGTATGTCTTGCTGCTTTAACTTGTAGGCTTTGTCATTAGGATGGGAGGCTGGAGACAGATTACAACTGAACAAGTGTAGTGTTAGGAATGATGCCGGGAAAATGCAGTAATAAACACCTCATGTTTGGGAGTACAAGAACCCAATACCCACTCTTAGTGACACAGCACAAAAGAAGAAATGGGCTGTTTGTTAGTGCGCAGTATATGCTTATTCTTTTCCTTTTCCAGTATTATTTGAAGGCCTAATTTGTTTAGATGCATAACTTCTTGAAACCCGTGAAGAAAACTGGGTAAAAGTGTCAACAGAAAGAGCATATGTAAAGAATAGATAACACAACCAGTTTAGGAAGCTTTTATCCCTTTTTATTAGCGTCATTCCTGAGTCAATTGATTGCAGCAGGTTACTGCTGCTGACTTTCCAGTAGTAAACAGCTATAATGATGAATGTTACACCCAATAAAGACTGGTTTCATGTGGCTTTGTGGCCTGTTATTAGACAACAAAACATCCAAAACCATTGCAGACTTTTTTATGTCTTTGAAGCATTCACAGTGTCACCCCTATTTGGTAGCCCTGAGGTCTAGTAAAGGTTGTGCTAATACTGATACCTCTCTCACTCTCTTTCTGTATACAGCTACTTAGCATAATAAAGATTTCAACTTAATTGAAATTGTCTAATTGTTTGAAAAGTTATTCAAGGGGGTGATGTCACTTGTTTATAAGCACTTGTGTTTTAAAAGGAAAAGGATAGTGTCTTTATTAGACCATTTGGAGAAAAGTCAAAGCATTTAAGAGCTGAGTCTTGTCATGGTTTTAGAGCCCAAAATCCAATTCCTGATTTCTAGCCCCCCTCCCACATCTCAACCCCGTGTGAGATGGGTTTTCCAGTCAAAAACACAAGACTCAATATGGGGGAAAGAAATATATTACAGTGACTGTACACATAAATAAATACTATAATACACTGCATACAATCTTAACTCTATCCCTACCATGACAATAATATTTACAATGGGCCAAATCTCTTCTCCCTCCAAATAAAAGTCCAGGAGAGAAGAAGAAGAAAAGACCCCTTCCAGTCTCCGAGCAGCAGGTCTCTCTAGAGCAGGAGACTCTCTGTGTCTTTCATGAAGCAGCAGTTGCAGCTGGATCCTTGCCAATGCACACAAGGGAGTCTCCAAGTCTCTCTCGGCCCCTCGTCTCCAAACAAAGGGTCTTTTCGTGGGCTGCGTTACCCCAGACAAGGTTGCTCCACCACGGTCATATCAACGAAGTACAGAAGCCTTCGTGACGGTCTGGTATCTTCAGGGGAATCCAAGCCCCTTGTCAGAGCTTCTGTGCTCTGCCTCAAGATGGCTGCTAGCTTCTCTGAAGCTTAGCAGCAGGGGGGGGCGAAGGTTACCCCACACAACACAGTGGCTTTCCCTGGAAAGCAAGGTCAGGGAAGAGGCGTCACCAACTAGCAGAGCTGGGCCAGGAAAGGCAGAGGGAGACGGTGAGGTAAAAGCCCAGATCATGGCCAGGCAGAGGCAAGGACCTGCTCCATCACTCACACCTCAGCACTCTCTTGCAAGGAGCCACCTCAGTTAATAGTGAGGACGTCACTCTGAATCTCGTGGCTCAGCTGGGTCTGGAGGTCGCTCAGTTTCTTCTTCAGGCCGGACAATGCGGACAGAACGATGGTCTCCGGACGCAGAGAACCGCAGGACTCCACGTTGTAGTAGAACCTCTCTGGCTTCCCGTTGGGGTCATAGGGAGCCTGAGCATCCTCGGCGTCGATCTCCACTCTTGGGCCACTCCTCTGGTTTGGGGTACACGGTGTGCCTCAGCGCGTTGTCTGGGTCGTACTCGAAGGCCACGCCCGCCGTGGGGTTCCACTTGGCGTGCTCCTTCCCAAAGCCCTTCTTGGCGTAGGCTCTCAGCCGGAGCTCCTGCCCCTTCCGCAGCTTCACAATGAGGATGTCATCCTGCTCCACGTAGTCATTGGGGTCATTGTCTCTGCTCCAAGACGTCACCGGAATGACCCGGGGATTGTTGGAGATGAGGTCACGGGACATGACGTGACGGGTCTGGTCCTCGTTGCAGCGAACATCCAGGGTGAACTCCACGGAGCACTCGGGGCAGAACTCGTCACATGTACAGTCTCTGGAATATTGCATCTTATCCACAATGTCATCGCTGGTGAGAGGGATGAGGCCCAGCCTGTGTGCAATGAACTCATTGTGGAGCACGGAGGAGTTGGCATCTATCTGGACCCAGTCGATGGCTATGGTGGGGACTTCAGCGATGAACACTCTTCGAATGGAATTTGCCACCGCCAGGTCCGTGTTCTCAATGATGAACTTGACGTTCTCATCCGTCAGCTCGGTGATGTGCACGGTGGGCTGGTTGGCATACGGCATGGCCGCCCCGGCCCAGCCCCGATCCCCGGCCCAATCCCGCTCCCGGCCCCGCTCCTGCCCAAAGTAAAGGGAGAGGGGAAAAAAAACCTGCTGGTGGGAGAGCTGCTGCAGTCTGGTCAGAAAGTGGTGATTGCAGTCCAGTCAAGGGTGGTGGTCTCAGTCTGGTTGAGAGCGGTGGTCTGCAGTCTTCCTCTGGATCCCACAAGTGGTAAAAAGGTTCCGAAACTCCCAGTTTATATATTCCCCAGTTCAGGCGGGAATGCTCAGTCCCTCCCTCAGAACGGGGAATTCCATAAAAGGGTATGAGGATGCTCAGTCCCTCCCCTCAGAGAGGGGAATTCCATAAAAGGGTATGAGGACAGGAACATCCCCCCATCTCGCAGGCCTCCACTGATAACAGTTTCTGGGGAATGGCATGGAAGGCTATAGAATATGCAGTCCTGGGCTGCACCCATCCAGCGATGAAATCAGTCCCAGCCGTTCTGTGACAGTTTGAGCCACATTAGAAATCTAAAAAATCCAATTTTCAGGCTTTTCCACCCCCTCCCACAATTTGTGCCAGCACCGAAGAGAAACTTTCAGGCCAGAGGCTTCTATAGGGGAAGGGGGAGGTATATACATTTATTTACACAAATAAATACTATACAAGCTAAAGACAACTATATATATATTACATCTCTATCAATCAGTCCTTTCAAACCCCTCCTTTAAGTTTAGTCCAGGAAAGAGCCTTTTCAAGGCTGGAAAGTAACCAGTCCCTCTGTGGGAGTGTTCTGGGCCTGAACGCTCCCCCCTCACCAAGTTCCAGTTGTTTTGTTGTAGTCTCTCCTCCTTGTAGTCTCTCCTCCTCATGAAGTCCGAGAAGATAGCTCTGAGTCCTTGCTCTCCTGCTGCTGTGTGATCTCTCTCTCTCTCATACCTCGATCCGTAGGCTGCTGCAGCGTAGCTCTGCTTATCAAGCATCCACGTCCTGGCATGTGGATTTCTCCTCGGGTTTTCGGTTGTCCTGCGTGGCAGAGACATCCTCCGGGACCCTTTCTCTCTCTCTCTCTGGGGGTCCGTCTCCAATTTCGCTTGGGACTCTTTCTCCCAAGCACCGGGCCTACCTCCACAGCCCGTCCACTTGGCTCAGCTTCAATGCTAAGCCTCTCCTCCACTTTCCAGCAGAGGGAAAGGAAAAGCCCCCCTCCACAGCTTAGTTGTAGAAAAGGAGGGGGGAGAAAGCTTGGCTACAAAAGCCTGCCTCTCTCCTCTTACCTCAAGTCAGGTTCAGATGCTGTGAGTCTCTTCCCTCACTGCACACACTCAAAATGCTGCCTCTAACTCTGCTCTGGGCTAGGCAGAGCTGGGGGGGCCACAGGGCTCCCCTCTCCCCTCCCAAAGGGGGAAGAAGGAGCCACCCCCCGGCCTTCCACACCTACACGCAGCAGACACCAACAACAGAACTCTTGCCCACAGCTTCCGGTGGCTGTGTATATATGATTTTGAGCAGAAGCGAACAGCATGAGTGGTGATTGGCTCTTCAGGGAACACTGCCCTGGCACCCAATCACCTCTGAGCCCCCCTCTTCTCGAGGGGGGGCCAATCTCAAACCATGACAAGTCTTTCTTAAGGTTAATAGCCTACCTTTTTTTTCTTCAGCTCTTTTTGGTGAACCAATAAAATATGCTTCCTGTCATCATGAGCTTTGTGGTTTGTAGCCTTAAAACCTCATGTCTGCAGCATCAGTGATTGTACTCAGATTGGTGTAGAAAAATGAATAATTAACACAATACCATTTTCCAGGACAAAAAGGAGTAAACTGTTTATAGATCTGTGTCGTTCCCTTAGCTCACACAGGCCTTCTTGGTATCTAATTGCTTGGCTAACTGGTATGCGAGGCATCTCCTGTGTGGCTAATAAATTTACCCCTCCAATAGGTACATTTCTTTGGTCTGTCTGTCCAAAATATTATGCTTGCTTACCTTCTTCCTTGATCTTTCTCATGCTGATTCTTTTACCTAAAATTTATATTACTTTTGATTATTAAAGCCCATAGCTTTAATGACAATATCTGTCAACATTGACCTTCAGATTCCTTGACTGTTAGAAAGTTAGAAACATGTTTAAAATTAGACACACACTCTGCACACATGTAGCTGATTATTTTTGTCTCTTGCATTTATCCTCCTTGGACTCTAGCAGTAACTTAATGCTTTTGTCCATACTGACTTCTAAAGATCTTACAAGTTTTCTTTTATAATAACTTTTTTAATGTATATAACGCCTTAAAGTATCAACAATATTTGGTATAAGTCCTTACTCTTCTGAGAGGAAAGTCAGTGTTGAATTTCAAAAGAAATTGGCATCACTGTGTGGAAAATATTAAACTTGAGAGGGGACTAGAGAGTCCTGCTACCACTCTCCTTCACAGAAGTGCCCTGCCTTTTGCTTGTGTTGGGTTTCATTAGCATAGTAATTTCTGCTCACTGATGTTAATGCTGTTATGTTCTTAGACCATGTGACAACCTATCTGATAGTGAAAGAGGTTTGTGCTCGTGGTGCTGGAATGGAAAACCAGATGGATCAAATGGATGTTCTTCCCAGAACATTTAAAGACTGAGTTCTCACTCCTGCAGCTATTTCATAGACTCTCTTTTTAGCATTGGTTCTACAGTGCAGTTCAGAAAGTTTTAGTGTTGTCATATGTCTGTTCACTCGCACTGGTAATCTAGAGTGTATATTCATTCCTCTAGGTAGAGAAATGGGCTGTTTGTTAGTGTGCAGTATATGCTTATTCTTTTCCTTTTCCAGTATTATTTGAAGGCCTAATTTGTTTAGATGCATAACTTCTTGAAACCCGTGAAGAAAACTGGGTAAAAGTGTGAGTAAGGTCCTCTGGGAAAAGACTTTTGAAGGTGCTAAGGTCCATCAGTGCTGGTCACCTTTTAACCATCACCTCCTAAGGGCACAGGAGCTGGCAATTCCAAAATGTCAGAAGTCAAGCAGATGAGGGAGAAGGCCAGCTTGGCTGAGCAGGGATTGTCTTTTGGAGATAATGCAAAAAAGGAAGGTGTATGCCCAGTGGAAGTAAGGTCAGGTAACATGGGAGGAATAGAGCGATCGTGCTCACCACTGTAGTGAGAAAGTTTGTGTGGCCAAAGCTCATTTGGAGTGGCCAGTACAGTGGGGGAAAATAAAAAGAGGTTTTTTTAAAAATACACTAACGGCACTAGAGAAATAACATTGTCCTGTTACAGAACCAGGATGGTCGTGTCACAAGCAGGGACATAGACAAGGCAGAAATGATTAATGCCTTCTTTGCCTCTGTCTTTAACACTGGTGATGGACTAAGGGGGTCCCAGTTGACTCTGAAGTTGTGTGGGATCTGCTGCTCCCGCTGGATCCCTGTAAATCTATGGGGCCTGATGGGATTCATCCAAGAATTCTCGAAGAGCTCTTTGATTGACAGGACTTGAAGGTTTACTATGTAAGCTTGCAGACAGTACTAAACTGGGACGAGCTGTTGACTCCCTTGAAGGCAGAGAGGCCCTGTAGAGAGACCTCAACAAATTAGAGGACTGGGCAGTCACCAACCGTATGAAGTTTAACAAAGACAATTGCCAGATTCTGCACCTGGGATGAAGCAACCCTGCATGTATGTACAGATTGGGGAATGAGACTCTGGAGAGCAGCACTACAGAAAGGGACCTGGGGGTCCTGGTTGATGGCAAATTGAATATGAGTCAGCAGTGTGCTCTGAAAGCCAGCATTGCCAGTAGGTCAAGGAAAGTGGTTGTCCTGCTCTACTCTGCACTGGTGCTGCCTCTCCTTGAGTACTGTGTGCGGTTTTGGGCAGTATAACATAACAATGATATAAACCTCATCTTGGTCTACATCTTCCTCACAAGGAGTAGTGGAGGGGCAGGCACCAATCTCTTCTCTCTTCAGTGATAGGACCTGAGGGAACAGCATGAAGCTGTGTCAGGTGAGGTTTAGATTGGGTATTAAGAGATTCTTCACCCAAAGGGTGGTTGAACACTGGAATAGGCTCCCCAGGTCATTGGTCATGAAACCAAGCCTACTAAAGTTCAAGAAGTGTTCGAACAACATTCTTAAGCACATGGTGTGATTTTGGGGAATGACTGATGTAGGGCCAGGAGCTGGACTTGATTATCCTTGTGAGTCCCTTCCAACTCAGAATATTTTATGATTCCTTTCCTTACTGTACATTTCTGAAGATCAAATAGGGACATATTCCTACCTGAAGCTCACACTACATGTGGACTCTAACCTGCACTTGTGTAACTGCCTTCAGAATTCCTAAAACCTCCTCTGGAATGTAATTGACCTTGGGAACTAGAAAGCATGAGGTAATTACAGACTTTCTGCCTTTGGATATTTTAATGGTAACAGATGGGGGACAACTAAGGCTACAATGAAATATTTTGAAATTGTCTGTTGAACTTCTCCCTGATCTCTGTTGTGTGCATTAAGGGAAGAGTAAGTGTGGTGGGTACTCTGACATTCAGATCTGCACAAAGCAATCTGCTAGCATTGTTTTGAAGAATGACCTTGTTGAAGGACCCAGAAACGTGCTAATTGTTGTTTCAAAGAAAAATATTCCATCTGTATAAAACAAAGTGCAATGAATCATTTGGATGCATCAACACTAAACTGATTGTATGTGTTAGTCATCTCAAATGAAAATTTAAACTTCTCTCTCTGGGAATCACAGAATGGTTTGGGTTGGAAAGGACCTCAAAGATCATCTAGTTTTTTTGTGGTTTAGAAATAGTACTCCCCAAATTAGCACTCCCACTGACACTCTCCAAACCGTGTGGTGCTCAATCACTCCCCTCCTCTCCCTCTCCCTCCCCCCTGCAGCAGGCTGGAGAGGAGAATGGGAGGCACAGAAGGTAAAGATCATGGCTTCAGATAAGAACAATTTACTAGAAACAGCAATGAAATAAGAAAATGAACAATATCAGCAACAATACAAATAACAAAAGTGTACAAAAGAGAGAGAGTGATTCACATGCAAAGT